TATTATATTATATATTATATATATTAAATACAATATTATATATATATATATTGCTTCAGGGCAGGCTCGCAAAGTCGACGTCACAGAACGAAGTGAGTGCTCTGCACGCAGGAAGTGTACACCTTTGGTACGTACTGCGGGCAGTGTACCTACGCTGGCCTATGTTGAAGCGCACACGAGTTTCCTCAAGGCCTCGACTGATTTCGGAAGTGTCCGAAATGATGACCTTGGCATCTGAGGTATTCAGGTATTCACTCTGATATCAAAAAAGCAAGCTTTAACATCACAACCAACAGAAAAAATAGAAAACAGCTCGCAGTTGCAACATCTGCTGCCCGCTTGCACGTCTTCCAAAAGCTCCGGAACCTGATCCTGGCACTCCAGGCCCAGGAAACTCGAAAAGCCCCCTCCCCAGAGGTCCTAACTTAGGGCTAGGGGCTTGCTCTGCATCGTCTTTAGCTTGGGTGCTCTTGACTTCGTTTAACCCTTTGAAGTGGAACCCTAAGCCCTAAACCCTAAACCCTAAACCCTGAACCCTAAACCCTTAACCCTAAACTCTAAACCCAAAGCCCTGAGCTTTCAAAATGGACGCCAACTCTCTTAGGCCGGGGCTGTACGCGCTTGGATTGCTACCGTCCCACAGTGCAGGAGAGATCCTTCGAGAGGCCGGTCAAGGGTCAAGGCTCTTCCTGATCACTCTTAAGGTTGAGGCTTTTACCAGTAGGAGCTTAGGGCTTTAGGAGTTTAAGGTTTGAGGGGTTTAGGGTTTAGGATTCAGGGTTTAGGGCATAGTGCCTTGCGATCATCATCACCACAGTTACCGTTCTCGTCATTGTCGTGGTGCTGCTATTGCAGCTGCTGCTATTGCAGCTGCTGCTATTGCAGCTGCAGCTGCTGCAGCAGCTGCTGCAGCAGCTGCTGCTGCTGCTGCTGCTGCTCTGCGATTTCGATTGTCATTGCTACTGCAGGACATGGCCTGTCAATTATAAGGCGAATCACAGCCTGCTATCAGGGACATGTCATGTGTTTGGTATGGCGACAGACAACGGAAGAGGAGGCCGTCCTTCCAAGAGACTCAGGGTCCCTGGGATGGCGATGTCAATGCGCACACTGTCGTAGTTGCCGATGCGGGAAGAGCAAAGCCACCAGGCCCCACGAAATTCCACGTTGCCTGGCGCAAGTTTCAAGCGAGGGCTCGTGCGTACACCATCCCTGCAACACTGTCTTCACGGGCCGCTTTAAGAAGCTCCTGCTTCTGCCACCAAGGCGCCAGACCATCGCACTTTCTGCTCCCGTGGAATGGTGCGATTCCCAGTCACAACCTGGGCACCAAGTGGATAGAACCCTCAACTCTCATCCCTACAGTCACCACCCGCTGTTTGCTGCCTGACCCCGCTGCTTGATGATCCGTATTCTCTAGCGCAGTCCTGGTTTTATGACCCTTGTCCTTTAGGAAGTTTAAACATCAGAACCCTACTACTGTAAACCTCGAAGCTCTCATCCCCTCAATGAGCTGAGGCCAAGGGCACAGGTGTTTCCTTTAATGGCGGAACACAGACCTGCCAAGCAGATCCAGATTCAGAGACGAACATGTGTCGCATGTGTATGCATGTCTGTACATACAAGTGTCTGCATCGATGTGTGTACTTCTATGTACATACATATACATATGCGTCTAAATATATATATATATATATATATATGTATGTATATATATATATATATGTATAAACATATATATATATATATATACACATACATACATACATACATACATACAT